CCAGGGATACACAGAGTCATGGAGTTGTGGCATGTGCCAGCCAGCACCATGTCCCCAGACAAAGGCCACAGTGCTGGCAGGACATTGCTCCTGTGCTGGGATCAAAGGGATGGGGACAGTGAGGCACTGCTCTTCTGCCCTTGCTCTTCTCCTCCCTCCTCAGTTAACCCCACGTTCGAGGCAGCAGAGCACCCCGAGAACGGCACTGGCAGCAGAGCAGCCCCAGGCACAGGTAGGTTGGTCCTGGCTTGTAACCACCCAGAGCATCCCCAGCTCTGAGGATTATTTTGCAGGCAGGGTGGGGGTTTCAAGCCCTGGGGAGCAGGACTGGGACCAGGAAGAAGTGATGCCTTTAATCTGTGGCTGGTGGTGCCCTTTGCTGATAGCAGGACCCTCTTGCCCTAGCAGCGGACCCCACCACCTTGGCCAGTGAGCAGCAGGCAAGCACCATCTTCCAGAGCAAGCAGGGCAAGAAGACCATTGACATTTACTGGCTCTTTGATGATGGAGGTAACCTTCACCTTCTATCTGTCCAGATAATGTGAGCCCAGCACCTCCGTTGCAGTGCCCAGGCGGGCTCAGTAGTGCCAAATGGTGCCAGGACATCCCTGGCCTTTGGCACCAAGGAAGGAAGCACTGGTGAGCCTGGGGCTCCCTGCTGCATTCCCACCGGGTGTTCTGGGGCCAGGTCTCACGCTGCTCATCCCCTACCTGCTGGGACGCAAGAAGCGCTGGGGAAAGTGCAAAATCCGGGTGTTTGTCGGCGGGCAGATCAACAGGATGGACGAGGAGAGGAAGGCGTAAGTGCTGGTGGCCACTGCAGCTCTTGGCCACTTGGCCACTGCCACTGTCCTGTGGGTGGTGACACAAGCTGCTTCCCATCCTGCTGAGCCCTCCCAGCTTTGCCATAATGGGATCTGTGAGCTCTGACCTGGCTGCTTTGCCTCACTTCTCTGGAAATCAATGTGGCTGCAGAGTGGGAAAACCCAATGTGCAAACTGAGGCCAGCAGCAGGGTTCTCTGCTGTGGCAGGGCTACCATTCCCTGCTAACTTTGGGAAAATCTGTCCTTTCCCCTCCATTAGGATTGTCTCTCTACTGAGCAAATTCCGCCTCGGCTTCCATGAGGTCCACATCCTCCCTGACATCAACCAGAAACCCCGGCCAGAGCAGTAACCACTCCCCCTCCCTTCCCCGTGCCCCCACAGCGCCCCCAAACCTGCCCAGACCCTCTTCCTTTGCACTGTCTGCTTGTGTTGCAGCGTCAAGAGATTTGATGAACTCATCGCTCCCTTCAGGCTGAACGATGGCTTCCAAGACGAGGCCACAGTGAATGAGATGAGACAGGGCTGTCCCTGGAAGATTTCTGATGAGGAAGTCGATAAAAACAGAGCCAAGGTAGCACCAGTACCAGGGGAGCTCCTGCAAAGGGTCTCCTGCTTTTAGACAGAATTTAGTCTTTTTGGAAACCATTATTTTTTGTTTCTCGATGCTCTTTGCTCCACAGTCGCTGCGACAAGTGAGGCTGAATGAGATTTTGCTGGATTACTCACGGGATGCAGCACTTATAGCCATGTAAGTGCCAGTAATGCCCTCACGCCTGTTTCTTGCCCCATGGGAATCATCCCTCGGGGATGTTCACCCGTCCCTGGGTGGGGAGGTCCTGTACAGACACCCTGATTCTCTTGTGAGAGTGCTGCACCACAGGGAAAAGCCCCTGGAAGACACCACGGGCTCCAGCTGGGGTCCTGTCGGGTGGGAGGATGTGGTGTTGGCCCTTTTTAGGGAATTAACCTGCACTGGACTGAGACGGGGCTGTGTCGGGCTCGGTGCCGGCCCTGCCTCACGCCCCTCCCCGCTGTCTGCAGCACTCCGCCCATCGGCAGGAAGGGCCGCTGCCCCAGCTCCCTGTACATGGCCTGGCTGGAGACCCTCTCTCAGGACCTGAGACCCCCCATCATCCTCACACGAGGAAACCAAGAGAACGTGTTGACCTTTTACTGCCAATAAAGCCTCCTGCATTCCTCATGACTTGGGATGTGAATTTTTCAGGCCAGTTTTGATCCTGGAGCACGCTCCTCTGGGAGTCTGGGGGAGCAGTGAAGGCGTGGTGGTTACCAGCCCTCTGGAAATGCCCACCAGGCACAGCTGCCACCCTCTTACAAATGTTTGTTTGGCCCGTGTCGGGCTGTGGCGGTTGTACATCCATAAACAGCAACGCTGGCCCTGCAGTGCAGGTTCTGCTCTGGCCTGGGGTTAGCCAGAGCCAGGCAGGGGAGCTGTGGGCTCCTGCACCTGCACGCCCAGGAGAGCCCAGCTGCTGTGCAGGGACTGAATGCTGGCCCAGCAAAGCCACTGGCCCAGGGTGGAACAGCCCCAGGGCTGGGAGCAGTCAGCACCAAGCCTAGGGGCTGCAGGGCCCCAGCATGTCACCTCAGGGACAGGGACAACAGCTAAGCCTGTCCCCAACAACTGAGCAGCAGTGAGAGGTCACCTCAGACTGTGGTGCCTGGCTGCAGATGCAGGTCCAGCTCCTATGCAGACAACATTTACCACCAGAACCAGGACATTTCTGGTGCAGATGGCCCCAAGCAAAGCAGGAGTGCAGCTCATTTGCTAAAGCACAACCCTTGTCATGCTGCAGAAGTAAAACACAACACTGATTCACCTCAAGAGTTACAGAATTTACTGATAATCACCACCAGGATTAGGAGTGTCAGTAGAAAAATAAAATGTACAGATTTTCAATCATACAAAGATTTGTTCATGACAGCTGCAGTTGTGTGCAAGAGGAAGCCAGGTGGGGGCAGAGGGGATGCCACACAGGGAGCCTCAGCACGTGTGGGTGTTCCTCCAGGGCAGCTTCTCCAGAAGGTGTTCCCTTAACCAGCACACTGTCTAGGCTCCCCAGCAGAGGCCCACAGCACTGCTGAGCCCAGGACACCTCAGTGTTGATGTTTTTGCCAGCTCTTTGCAGTTTTTGACAAGTTTGACTGAGCAAAGTCTACGAATACCTGATGAAAATTGAAGGGATTCCTCCATATGCCTCAGTTGGAATAAAGGAATGGAAAGGGAAGGCCAAAGCAATGAGGGGAGGAAACTGCCACAGTGCTTCAGCTGCCATCTGGTGCTTCAGCTCAAGGCTACTCCTCCTTTCTGTCTAGCTCTGGTTTTACTGGAGAGGGAGGTTGCCAGCAGCAGCAGCCAGCAGAGTGCAGGATGCTCTGTGAGCGCCACGGTGACACAAAGAACTTGCCTCCTGTGCTCATGTGTCCAGACAAATCAGCTGATTGTTCACCTTTTATGCAAGAATTCCCTGAAAATTTCACAGCATCCAGGTATAGAGAGACATTGCCAGCTCCAAACACTCCAAACAGGGTCAAGCTGCCAACTCTTCAAAGAAACCAGAACCCCCTCAAAAGGGACTCTCAGAGATCCCCAGAGACAGAAAATAGGAGGTTTTCAGTTCACCCAGCACTGAGTGACTTTGCTGAGCAGTTTTTACTTGTTCTGAGCTCTGTAACAGCCCCATTTGTGTCCTGCACCCCTCAGCCCTGTTCCTGCAAGGAAACCTCCTCTTGCTGTGCACAGGGCACATGGATAAAGTGCTTTCTCAGTTGCAATCAGCTTAATGGCTATTGAGTGGTGCCAGGCACCAGTGCAGGGTGAAGGAGAGCACAGCAGCTGCTCAGGACATTGGTGTCTGCTGTCACCTGAAAGGTAAAGCCAGACCCACCCTATTCAAATTCCATGAGATACTTTTAATCCATCCAGGAAAACTCCTGTAAATTAAACTGTGCACTCTGTACACATGCTGAAACGAAGCGGGAAGAGGGAAAAGAAAGAAAGCTTATTCCTTCTTTTTCATTGTTTCTGCCCTGGCAGGAAGACTGGTTCTCTGCAAGCAGCACAGCACTCAGGGCTCTCCACAGATCCAGGGTTTAGTATAAGTTACACCACTTGGACCTCACCCACCTAAGGAGAGGGATTCACATTAAATTATTTCCTAAACTGTGCATCTATACTCCCTGAATTAATATAGGCTAAAATTTAGAGTAATCTCAGTTAGTAGCTCCTGCAAAACACCTCCCACCATTGACAGAGCACTCTTGAGGAGTCAGTGCACAGAGAAACCCATTTCCATGACAGTACCCTCCTGAAGGGTACAGAATCAATTTAGTTTAGAAAAGCCCTCTAAGATCCAGTCCAGCCTTTGACTGGTCACCACCTCATCATCCAGACCATGGCACTAAGTGCCACCTCCAATCATTCCAGCACTGAGGAGATGGCAGATAAATGGCCCTAGGAATTCTGCTGCAGGTACCAAAGGAACTGATTTGGCAACCAGAGGAATTCAATGAACACACAGATGGGAACTGTCCCTGAAAGGCTGGACACAGACAGTGCTTCCCTCTGCAGCCCACACGTGTGAGCTGGACACACACAGAGCACAGCAAACCCCTGGGAGTGCCTGCCCTGCCCAGCCACATCCTGGAATTCAACCTCAGCTTCCCCAAGAACCCAGCCCCAGGAAGCACCCAGTGAGCTGCTCAAGTGCCCCAGCCATGCAGCACAACTCGGGCACAATGCAGAGCTACCAATTAGTTAAAAGTCACTTAAAAGCAAAACAAACTAAAACAATTAATGAGGAGACAGTGCTGCCTGTGCAGAAGGGTTGATTTGTGTTCACATGGACACAGGATCCACTCAGGCTCCTGCCAGGAGCCCTGCAGCTCTCCCAGCCCTGGCACACTGTGGGCTGGATGCTGAAAATGCGGCACAGTCCCTGTGCTGGGGACACCCAGTCACAGCCCAGCCTGGCCAGGCAGCTCTCAGCAGCAGCAGCAGCAGGAATTTTATCCAAGCTGGATAAAAGTGCCAGACACCCAGCTCCAGCACACCAACATGAACAGCCCCAGCAAGTCAAGGAGAACAGGGTCCTTTGAAAACACAAGTCTCCTTCAAAGCCTGAGGAGAGCTGTGCATGCCCACACTCACACCTGGCATTTCTGGAGTGCCCACTCCACTCTGCTTTGACTCTGGGCAAAACATTCACAGGGCCAGAAGAGCTTTGCTGTAATAAAATTCACAAAATCTCTTTTATACCAGTCATTTCCCCTGTGCAGCATTCACAGCCAGAGCTCCCAGACACAAATCTGCACTCTCATCCATCTAAAATGAGTTCTCCTTTTGCTGCTCCCAAATCCACTATGGCTATCACCTGGTATTAAGAAGTTTGGGCCAGAAAGAAAACAATTTTTTAATTTTAAAACTGGCATTAAAAGAGCTTCAGGTTCACTGAAAACCAAGCAACAAAGTGGTGAGTGAGCTCTGAGGACACAGTGTCACTCTGGTCCTGTTCCTACCCCAGCACAGCTGGTGCCCCATTTTAGTCATGTCCTGTCACTACAGTCCATCACTGGTGACAGGTACCTGGGTCTCCTCCTCTGGGAACCATCTTCCTACCCTCCAGAGAAATAAAGCTTCACTTGGCACTTAATGTTACCAAAAAGTAACAAAATTCACAATTTTAAAATTTCAAGCCAGGCTGGAGGCAAGAGCGAGCAGCCCCAATTCCTTAAATCAGCAGAAGAAACACAAGGCTGGAGCTGTGCTCCCTGTGCTTTGTTCTGAGGCAGCAGGTCCTGTGCTCCCCCTCTGGTTTGTGCTCTCCAGCCTCTCCAGAGGAGCTACAGAGTGGCCAGGATGCGCAGGAAGGAAACCACCACCACACAGAAGGTCTGGCCCACGCCAAAAATGAGCGCCTCAAAGGGAATCATTTTTTTCCCTGCAGCTCTGTAAACTCCAGCAATGGCAGCACCTGTGGAGAGGGGGAAAAGCCAAGATGTGAACGTGAGACAGCTGCTGTGCACAGGGATGAGGGGGAGCCTCAGGATGTGAGGCTGGGGCAGAGAACAGCGGGGTCTGAACCTCCCCCTGCTCAGCAGCAGGCAGGAACGCTGGGCTGGGGCTGGGTGACAAACCTCAGCCAGGAACCAGAGCATGCTGGTGGCAATGGGAGAACTGGTGCTGAAACTCTGCTGGGCCTCCAGCAGCTGTGGGGGTTGAGGTGGTTTGGGACACACCTTTGTCACAAGATCCCTCACCCACAGCCCACAGGCTGCAAACATTACCCAGGTCTGGGCACTGACTCCAAACCTCGGAGAGATTTTCCTCCAGGTGCTCAGAAATGTGAAAGCCCCTTGGCTCTGCACCCGCTGGGCACGTTTGGTATGCCCGACACGGGGTCCAACCATTTCAAACGTGGGACAAGGGGGAAATAAAGCCAGAAGGGAAATCTCCATTCCGGGGAACACCGCCATGCCCCGCACTCCCGAAGTTAACCTGTGATCCCCACAGCCCCCGGCCCCGCCGTACTTGTGAGGGTGCCGGCGGTGATGGGTCCCACGATGCCCATCAGCAGCACGCTCACGGACATGAACCGGCCGTACTTGTGGTGCCGGAGCGTGAAGAGCGCAAGCAGCGCGGCCGGGACGTGGAAGGCGAGGGAGGACACGACTGCCCACAGGAAGACACCGTACCACATCTCTGCGGAGAGAACGGTGTGAGGGCGACCCGCGGCCCGCAGGCCTCCAGCGGCCCCGGCGGGCGGAGGCCGCTCCGGGCAGAGAGGTACCTGGGAAAGTGGAGAGCGGGCTGGAGTAGGTGGTGGTGCCATTGCCCACGCGGGGCACGAGGCGCAGGCTGAGGATCTGCTGCAGGAGCCCCCCGCCACCGCCACCCGCTTCGCCGCCGTCCATCCCCACACCCGCCCCGCCGCCATCCGCCACCGCCCCTTCCGCCCGGCCCTTTCCTGCCGCCGCAGCCAATGGGAAGCGCTGTAAGATGATAGACGTGGGTTTTCGCCAATCAGCACTGGTCTACAGGCAGCAGGGTCCCGCCCCGACCCCGCGCTGCCATGGGAACGGCTGTGTGCCGCAAGGAACGCTGGGAGTGCCGGCGGGACGCTCTGGCCCGCTGGCGGACTCTCGTCTCTGCTCCCCGCCGCCCCGGAGGCGCGGCCGTTCTTCCTGCCCGCCAGGGGGCGCCCGCGGGCGGCGGCGGCGCTCTGGGCGGCGCGGGCGGGGGCAGCGAGGCGGCGGGGCCGGGCCGGGCCGCAGCATGTCGGGCTCGGAGTCGGAGCAGGAGCAGGAGCTGTACTCCTCGGCCGATGATGACGATTACGTGCCCTCGGGTGAGTGGCGGCGGGCGGGAGGCGGCGCTGCCGGCGCCCCCGGCGCTCACGGTGTGTGCTTGCAGGTGCGGAGTACAGCGAGGATGATGAGAGCGAGCTGGTGCGGGAGGAGGAGCCGGCGGGCAGCCCGCGGCCGGCCCGCGGCAGGAGGAGCCCCCGGCGGCCCGGCAGCAGGTACGGCCCTGGGAACCGGCCCGGGGCGGGGAACGGGAAACGGGAAACGCCGCGCTGCCGTCCGGGGTAGGGGCAGGAGCGGAGAAGCTCGGCCCGACAGACAACGTGCCTGAAAAGCCTCCCCAGCAGGAGTTGTTTATATTAACGTTCTTCAGTGCAAGGCACGCACGGACGGGGTTTGTCACGTTGATGTAAATATAAACAGACTTTAGTTGAGGTTGGTTTCTATCCAGCCCATGTTCTCCTCCCCTCCTGGCTCCTGCATTATCCCAGAACCACTGGACCCTGGAATGGTTTGGGTTGGAAGGGACCTTAAGGACCACCTTGTTCCACCCCTGCCATGGGCAGGGACACCTCCCCCTAGACCAGGTCACTGAAAGCTCCATCCAACCACTGAACAGTTCCAGGGATGGGACAGCCACTGGACCAACCTGTACCAGTGTTTCAGCACATTATATACTCCCAGAAATGCATGGAAAGGGGCCACTTCACTTCAGGGGCACTGCCTGCATCAGTCTCACTGTATTTTCTGAGCAGCAGCATCTTTTAATAAAATACATACACTCCAAGGTTAAGAGAGAGCCTCCCAAAGTGGATGTGTTAGTAAAAATATGAAATATTATGTTGCTTGCAGTTAATCTCTGGAACAGCTCCATATACATTTTTTCTTCTTTTTTGGCATCTGCTTTCAGGAAGAGGAAGAAAGGAGGTCTCTTGTTAGAGGCAGATGAGAAAGAGCAAGAAAAGGCCCAGCAGAATGGAGAGGAGCAGAAAGAGGAGGAAGTGGATGATGTAGAGCAAGTAAAAAGAAGAAAAGAAGAAGAAGAAAAAAAGAAAGAGGATGCTCTTTGGGCCAGTTTCCTCAGTGATGTAGGACAGAAGCCCAAAGCTGTGGCTGCCACACAAGGGACACAAATCAAGAAGGTAAGGGGGACCTGGGCCTGCACCCAGGGAGGGTGGGAAGGGCCTGGAAGTTTAGAGCATTCCCCCTTGGTCCTGGCTGGTGTCGGGTGTTGGGCAGAGCTGGGAGAGGCTGGGGGTGCCCCTGCCCCCTCTGCTTTGTGAGCCTCACATCCCCTGATGGGCCAGGCTGCAAGGTGCTGGTTTCCTTCCAGATATGGAGGTAGTGCTGCTTTTGGAGCTGTCAGCATCTTGGAGTGTCCTGCACAGCCCTGTTGGCTTCCCTTCCTGGGCCTGGATGCCTCTTTTGACACAGGAATGAAGAGCTTTGGTCTGAGTTGTGCATGGGGGCACAGCTCTCCCTGAGGCTTGTGCCTTTCCTGATGCTTAAAAGAAAAATAGAAACAAAAGGAGATTTTGTGTGTGTGTGAGTGGGGAAACAAGAGGGGTCTGTGCTGGGCTCCCTGTGCCTCCATCCTCCTGGAGAGGGTCTGGAGCCTGCTGCATGTTGCACGTTGGTAACAAGATTGAATCTGGCTTTCTTGTGTCCTTTGTAAGCCCCAGGAAGGTGCTCCCAGTGTGCAGAGGTTTTTCTGGAGAGAGAATTCTGTGTGTGGTAGCTGTTAGAAAGGATTTGGTTCTCAGTCAAACCAGGTGCACATGTTTGCCTGTCAAAACCTTTCACGCTTAAGGTGGTAGAAGGGAAGAATGTACCACAAGTGAGCCTCCTCTGTTGCTAGAATTAGCAGTGTGGGGTTTTTTAGATGGTCAGCCACAATAAATGTTCATTAACAGAAGACAGGAGTCTGCCTGGTGAGTACAGTTCTGACTGTGTGAAGCTTCTTTCCATGACTCTTGGGAGCTTGTGGAGCAAGTGTAGTTTTGCAGTATTTGATTGCAAGTTTTGGAAGTTTAGCCCTCCTTTCATCTCAGCCCTCCTGCTTCTCCTTATTACTGCCTGAGCAGCTGGGGGGGTAACTTGTAGAGTCAGAGGGAAGAAGAGAAGTGAACATTTTCTTCTGAGCAGTTCTACTTTTATGGGCAGGTTGCTAAAATGTGAGATACCTTTGAAAGTTCCTCCATAGCCTGGAATAATTCATGGAGACATGCAATTCCTCTGTACTCTTTGTGAACTTCTTGGGCTTGCATGGCCTTCCAGAAGATCTCTCTGGTGTGTGGTTGATTTAGACCAAGAATTTGGGTTTTGTTTTGGTAACTTACAGTGGTTGAGGTTTTTTATGTATCCTTTTAGCAGCTGTAGCTGTGATTGAGTAAATTAAGAGACACTGCTGACAAATTGCTTGAGAAAGATTTTTCCTTCTCAAATAAAAGAGATGCTACTGACAAGTAGGGAGATCAGCACTGCTTTTTCTGCTGATGAGTTTTGTTATTCTCTATTCTTGAGTAAAATTAAACATACTTTAGTGGAATTCACTTTGAGAGAACCAAATCTCCAGGCTTTTGCTTTGTGAACCACTGCAATGTATTCTTGCTCCTTCCTACATTTATTACAATTTCACTTCTTGTTTTAGTTTGTTTTGATCTGAGAGCTTCAATGGCAGCCTGGAACCAAAATGGGGAATTTAATTCTGGTGGAATGAAATTTATTTATTTATTTTATCTTGTCTGTGGGTGACTTGGTTTGACCACCAGTCTGAATTGCAGTGCTACCCAAGGTCTGTGTTGGGCCCTTGGCCCTTTGGAATAATAATTTGGCCTGGCTCCACAAATACATTGTTTTGCTTTCTCCTTCCTGTATTTTGTAGACTGAAGAAGAGAACAGTGGGAATAAGCCTCAGGAGAAGCCAAAAGATTCAGGAAAAGTGACAATCACCAAAACATTCGATTTTGCTGGTGAGGAAATCAAGTAAGTTGGCAGATGTGATGTGTCCATTGTGGGCCCAGTGCAAGCTGAGTGCTGGAGCTGGGCTCTGAGAGACAATGGGTCTTCTTTACACTGTTTTTTTTTTTCTTTTATTGTAAGCACATAGAGATCTCAGGGAAAATGAGGCCAAAATTTTCCTGCATCAGAGCTGCAGAGTATCCTTATATGCAGACCCCAGTCTTCACTCAACTTCATAACACTCATAAATGTAACTCAGATTCACTTAGGCTTCCCCATCTGGCCAGTGTTTGTAGTGGTTGGCAGAGCTCCCTGGTGGCTCTGTCCCTGGGAAGGCTGAGACAAGGAAGGAAGCACGTCTGGTCCCACAAGGATGAGGGTAACACATTTTACTCCTTCAGCCCAGTCCAGGTTCTGTGCTGCAGGCAGGATTATTGGCTGGCACTTTCCTGGTGATGTTCACAATCACAAAAAAGATTTGCAGGCAGTAAGAGGTGTTTTGCTGAGCAGACTAACAGCTGAGTGCTTTTGCCTCTGAAACAGCTGCAGCCAAGGGGATGGGCTGGGTAAAATCCTGCTTTAGGCTGAGTTTGGTTTACAAGAGGCCTCTCAGCTGTGCTGCAGGAAGGGCCAGGTGTTTGATAAATGTGTAAAACCAGAACTGAGGGCCTGGCTGAACCCACCTGAAATCTGACTGCCCCGTGAACTGATAAGAACTGCTGGTTCTTATCTGGGGATGTTATTTCTATGTAGCAGTAAATGTGGTTTTGTCAGAGTGACTTGGCCTGTTTGGTGTGACGGCAGAGGGCAGCAGTTCCCAGCAGTAGCACTCGCCCTGCCTAAATCTGCAGGAGGAGGCAGAGCTGGGGCTTCTGCTGCTCTTGCTTTTCATGTTAGCCCTGCTGCCTGAGCTGTTTGAAAAATCTGAGGAGAGCTGTGAGCCATAGTAGGGACTTTGCTACTTCCCTGGGCAAGCCAGACCGTAGGAATACCCCTCACTCACTGATGAACTTCATTCACTTTGTTCACTGGCCTTTGAAACATTGGTTGCTTTATGTGAACAGAAGTTGCTCATGGATTCTAGTCACTGATTTTATGCTTTTGACACCAGGATCTTATATGTGGTTTCTTAAGAACTGTAACTAAGACAAAGACATATTTTCCTGCACCCGTTCCTTTTCTAGTGTCCTTTGTACTGCTCAGTGCTTACTCTTTCCCTTGGGAAACTGCAGAGGAATCAGCAGAAATTTCTACCAAGTTTTGATGAAATAGGCAATAGCTGGAGCCTGGGTGACAATGAGCTGTAATTCTGCAAGCACCAAGGCCAATGCATGCTTTGTTTACAGTAGTTATTAAATCAGTTGGTTACAGAAGCAGCAACAGAAGGTTTGCAGTGAGGTCTGGAGCTCTGTTTTCTGCTGGTACCAGAGTTACAACAAAATTATGTTCTTGAACTCTTTGATAACAGAAAAATCCTTCAATGTTTTTTGCCCCCTTGATCTTTGTGATATGCAAAGCTGATTCTTTTCTGTTTTTTGCTACATCTTGCTTCTTTAAAGGGGTCACACTGTTAGCTGTGGGTAGGGTACAAGGTGTGCTTGCTACTCACAGCTGCTGGTGCTTTCCCCTAATGGCAGTGGGTGAGGCCC